TAGGCTGGCATGAAAACAGACATATTGCCTGTGTCTCTACTCATGCTCACTAGTGCTACACCTCTTTATGGAATTCCTAAACAAGTTTACTCAACAAGAAAGCAGAAATTATGCCTTCATTTCTTTTATCCTCTGGGTTATAGTCAAGTCTTTGTAGAGCAAACCATAGTTATATAACAATGTGCCTGTAACAGATGCACTTGCTGGTATAACTGCCTCTTTTTGGCACATTATTGCTTGGCTTTAATTTCATATTCAACAGTCTTTATTCTCGTGATTAGTATCTGAGATATCGGTTTTAAAAAAAAAACTGTAAATAACATCTTGTTGCACCATTCTGGCCCCCAGAGTCATTTCACCAAATCCCATGGTTATTTGAATGTCTTTTATATTATCATCACCTTAATTTTCCCAGTAGCCCAAAAGTAATGTTTCAGGACTCTTTGTTGTTTCGATCTACACATATATACAGGTGTATTGGATTTACTTTGAGAGAGGTTATTTGGTTGTGGCAAGTGAGTAGTTTAGCTGGTGAGTATTCACAGTTAAAAGTAGCTGTGATGACCTCTGGCAGATGTCACTGATTACTTGTGAGACAGAATTTTTCCAATCTCAGTTCATCCTTATTTATATCCTTGGTCATTGCTTATTCGATTTCTGTAGCCAAGGAGAAAACTTTTTTTCCCCCCAAGATCAGGATAAAGTTCATGGAAATTTGTTTCAGTATTTATAAGACTATTTTTTCCCTTTTGCAAAAGTGTTCAAAATTGTGTTGTTATTCTTAAGCCCATGTGTCTGCACAGATGACATTTGTAATTACTGAGCCAGTTGCAGAATTTCATTAAGGAGGATACAGTTACAGGATGGACAGGAGATTCAGTAAACTGCCTGTTATTTGCCAGGTGGCAGCAGCTAACCTACATTTGGAGAGAATCAACCCAAAGGGCTACATATGACATTGAGAAACACTGCTCACAGAAAACAAAATGCTCAGATGAATGTGAAAAGCAAAAGTTGGAGTGGATGTGGAGACTTCTGATTCACTGGGTAGACAAAACAAGGGCTGGACAAGGTGATCCGCTCACTCATCTCAGATGCTGCTGAGCTCACTGTGTTATCACAGAAGGAAACTCACAAGCTTCATTTCTCAAACACCACTCAGGACAAAGGAGGAGAGAGTACACAGCCTCATCTCCATGGCAGCATTGTGGAGAATTAGTCAATCAGGCAGGTACGAGGTCTACACAAGTCTACAGGTGCCCAATTTTCAATAAACACACAGGCACACAAGCACACACACATATATATGCAAACCTATCCTAATATATTATTTTTCTTTATACTGGTTCTGAAAAAGTTCACAAGGAATATGGTGAATTCCGTGGTACCAGAGGTGGACAATTTCTTTAATACTTGCACAATATGTAGGAGGAAAAAAAGACAATAATTCCTCACATTTTGGCAACAAAACAGTAATAGAGTGAATATAGCAAAGGCCAGACAAGTTACATTAACAGCACATTGTATATATCCTCTGTAAACAAATTTTAAAGTCACGTTGTATTCTATTCTTGGTGTTATATATATACAACCATTCCCAGCATGGCAGAAATTCCCTAAAATGAAAGGAACAATATTAGTATAAGCTAGGAATAGTAAAATCTCAATACTTTGGGATACAACCAAATGACATTTTCCTCTTTTGCTTTTTCCCTTAAGGTTGCAAGATTTGGTTTCAAAATCTAACCTGTAGGGTTTATGTTACATATATGTACTCAGTCCTATTTATTTCAATTTTTATGTTTAACTTATAACATGGAGAATATTTGTACCCCGAATAATGAGTATCAGATGATTCTCAAGACTAAAAAATTATCAAAGGTCAAATTATATTCAATATAGTGGAATTTATAAGGTAGAAAACATATTAATCCATTTTACCAACACTTCATTTTGGACACAAACAAAAAGGTTTCTGGTTAACCTCTACTTAAAAATATTCAACTTATGCCACTAATTCAAAACAGAAAGGTTAATCAGGATTTTATTGTATACAAAGTAGCTTGTCTGTGGCATCAAAAGCCAGTAATTCAAAAAGACATGATTAGAAAGGCATTCAAGATAAACATGTGGCAGTGAAGCAATGCTATTTTTCTTATGATAATAAACCTAGAAAAATTAATACTTAAATAAAAATTCTAGTGTTCATTTGGTAAGTGGTATAACATCTTCACACTTTAAATGTTGAATGACCTTCCAGACACTAAGTTCTAACTCACTTCTTTTATTACTGGCTTAGGGATATTTTCTATTTCTTAATTGAATAAAATATTTCCTGTCTAAAGATCTAAGAGTAGAGTGTATTAAAATGGACAAATCACATTAAAAGAAATTAAGGACAAACACAAACAACTTTTAACTCAGTGGGTATCATGCAGGTGAAGCAAGGAATGATTGAGCAACTTTAAAGTCCACCAGGATTATATTATATTGCAACTTCCTTTGGTGAATGAATCCAAGACATCCCAAATGACATACTAAATACCTAATTCTGTGTCACAGACTGATGTAAGGAAGAATCTCAAACATGGTTTTATTTTGAGAGTAGCTTAGGGTAGGTACTAAAATGTAAAAAACCACTATCTTAAATAGCCTCCCATCTCATATATCTATTTGATGACACATTCCTGTTACTGTTTCTAAAAGCTGCTAGTTCTATAAAATTTGATAAGAACAAAACAAACAAGGTTTTGTACTATCTTATGACCATTTCTAGAGTGTTGAGAAATCAAGAATTTAGTTCTAGCACCAAAGAAAACCAAACTTACTACAGCAAACATTTTTGCTTAAAGTTTTAGTTTGAGAGGCACAACTACAATACCAAATTGAGTGGTTCTGATTAACAATGTGTGACAAATACCAACGTTTTTCTCTTAGATCTCTGCTTCATCTCACTATTTATAAATCGTGTGGTTACTCTAATCTCATAAAAGTAAATATTATTGCCGGATGTTGAATTTTTCTTCTCTCCTATGTTAATACAGGAACAGCCTGTTCTAGCCACTTCACAGCAGAGGATTACCTGGGGCCCACCTATCTGGAGTAGGTGCTGTTGACAGCTGCTCCTGTGTGCACAGGGTGTACTCTGTGTATACACAGCATGTGTGCCATCATGTGATAGAAATGGCCAGTGAGAAAGGAGACAGAATAGTTGTGGCCAAGTTATCTGAGACAAATGGGTGCTTAAGTCCAGAAGAGAGAATTTTAGACTTAATCTCTAATCATTAAATGTAATTTGATTGGTAATTTGATGATAATTTCTACTTTAGATAGTGTTCTTAAAAGAGGCCAATGAGTAAGAAACTAAAAAATGTGCCTTATTAAAAAATTCATCATAAGTTCCAAGCATAACAACTGTAATTACCATTCTCTGGCTCCAAGAAGGCTGTCACACTGTGGTCTTCTTATGCAGGCTGCATGTACAGTTAAATTGCTTTGAAAGAAATCAAAGCTTTTTAGTAATTTAGTTAGTTCCCAGTGTAGGTTGCACACAGGGTAGAGTTTAGGTATGATTTTTTCCCCCCTCATGTTCAGAACCTGCAAAGTAGAATTAAATTGAAATAAGCTAATACAGATAATTGGAATTGACTGTACTAATGGTATTTGAAACTTTGAAGAAAATTGCATGGTCAGATATTCTTTTTTTTTTTTTTGGCTCATCTGGGGAATGAGTTTAGAGAAGGCAACCAGTACCACTCCAACATCTAGCAGTCAAATTTTCTAAGGGCAAGATGGAGGCCCTATGATGAATCCAGGAAGGGAAGGGTTCCTAGGGCCTTGACTAATGCATTCTTCTTTCCATTAGTCAAAGAAAGCAGCTGCTGGTGGCCCCTGGCCAGTGTCTTGCAGGATGCCCCTATGTTTCAGGGATACCCTCCTCTTCTAGAGAGGAGTGAGTGCTGAGCTCAGATAGATGCCAGTGTTCTCAAGGAATATCCTACTCCAAACTCAAACCATGCTTACATTGACCTCTTTTTTTTTTTGTTGGCTTTGAAGGTTGAGATATGATGGTATTTCTCTTAAAATCAAAAGTATAAAAAAATTACCTATTTTTTTTTTACTCCAGATTATAGACCTAAACAGGTGATATTTGTCTGCATGTAAGAGAACTTCTGTTCCCTTTGGTGTTGACCACATTTGCTGTTAGAAACTACTGAACCAAATCAAAAGAAAGCCAAAAAATTTATGCTGTTTACATGAATACAGATGAAACATGTAGTTTTTGTTACTTAAAGGCTCTTCCTTTTATCAACACAGATAAAACAGATTTTGGTAATCTGCTATTTATAATTTTTTACCAGAACCTTATAATTCAGTAGAATATCACTGGAGAACTTCTGTATCACATAAAATTTACTATTATCTCTCATGTGATGACTCTTCTCAAGAATCTAGTTCCATATGCCTCCTTTAGGGTAAGAAAATATGAATTCAATTTGGTTAGCCTCACAGAGATGCACCTTGCCTTCTGTGCAGGAACATGTGTATATGTAAGTCCATGTTGGATGTAATTGGACAGTATTCATATCTAAAGCCTTAGCTAATTCTCCTCACATAACTTATATTTTCTAAAAGCTATACAAGGTGTATGAAAAGGGCTATCTGCAGATGTTTTCAAATACTAATTCATATTTGGTATTTTACATATGTAAAAATTTGTCTCAAATTTTTACATTATGGTTCTTATTACCTACTTAGATTTTGTGTGGTAACAGCATTCTAATTTCAATAGGACTAGAAATCATAACGTTTTTGCTAATAGTGTTTTTGCTATTTTTAATATAAAGTAGGGATTTTAATGCAAATACCATCATGTGATACACATTGAGGCAGTAATACAAAATGACACATGTATAATGGTATTGTTATTTCTATAAGCAATGTCATAGTTAAAAAAAAAAAACCGTGAATATGATTTCCACTTAATTAGGGTTGCAAATCTGCAGTGAAGCTTGCTTCTCTTGTTCTTTCTTTCACATTGAAATGGCATCTTTATTTATGAACCCTCCAGGGATCCCACGATTTTTAATAGCAATTTCCTATAGTTAATACTTGCTTTTTCTTCTTGGTCTCTCAGAAAACAACTTACGCTTTTGATACAGACAGACACATATGATACCATATGTGCATACGCTGACACCCCCCCCCCCCATGCGTGTCCCCTTTCAATCTAACACAGAAGAAGGGGCAGGGCGAACACAGCAGTTGGGGCGACGGAAGTTCTGCAGCATGGACTGGAAAACGCTGTGCTGCCTCCCTTTCAGCTTCTTATTGGAGGAAGTGTCCGAGGAAATGGATCTCCGGGTCTGGTCGCTTTGCGTTTTGATTAATTTCTCATGTTCCCGGATTTGTCTTTGTAAGTGGTTCTGGATGGCGATCCCCAGGGACTCCGGGTCCAGGGAAGCCCCGTACACTTCCCAGGTCATGCCCTGCTCGTCCCACACCACGTCCTTGACCCGCTTGGACTGCTTCAGCTGGAGTTTGGCCTCTGTGCTTAGCTGCTTTTTCTTCTCTCCCGGTGTGAGCCCCACCTGAGCAGCAGCTGCTGTCACGTTTAACTCCTTGAGGAACTCGCTGACCCKGCTGGCCCGGCGAGGGCTGGCTTTGACCGAGCGAGAAGGGGTCCTCTTGCCAGAACCTGGGCTGGAGTCACCCATGGCGTCCGGGGGTAGGCTCAGGCTGGTGGCTGTCTTGCTCTGTCGGTTTTCCTCTAAGACGCCCTCCTGATTCTTTCTGTTTGGGGAGGGTATGGGATTAGCTGATCCTGAGCCTCCATTTTCTTGAGCTTTGGGATTGAGCAGTAGGGTTTTGGCATCTAGAGCATCGGTGCCCGTAGGCTCCTTTTCTTTTACTATCTGAGGAGACTTGGACTTTGTCTCCTTTGGACCTCCTTTACTCGTGGCCTCCAAACTCCTGGACTGGTCCTCTTTGCTCTCAGGGCTGCAGGAGTCCGATCGTTTGTAGTCTGGATCAGTCTTGTGATCAGATGTCTTGGCTTCAGATGTCCCCAGTTCCTGGTTTATTCTAGACTGACTACCTGCACTGCTAGCAATCTGGTCAATGGGGCTAGCTTTCAGGGAGCTAGAATTAGCATCTGAAAGCTGTCTAGAGGTTGACTCTTCCCTCAATGGAGTCTCTCCTGCTGGTCTCCCATCTTCTTTACAAGTATCCTGGGCCTGACTGCAGGCCCTGCTGATGGGTGAGGTCTTCAGGATCTGCTCTGGTAGGCTTACTCCTTTCAGTTCCCCTTGGAAAGCTGTAGAGACAGGTGCAGCTGTCTGGATGTGCACCTGAGCCATGATGCCACAGCCCTGCCCTGCCTCCTGGGGGRCTTGTATGCTGTTAGAGAGCTCCAACACGTGGCTGCCACTGCCACTTCCCTGGCAAATGACACGCAGCTGCTCTTGATGTTCCAAGCACTCAAGGGCAGGGGTTTCCTTTAAGAAAGCGGTGAGGATGCTGGGGCTAGTGGAGACCGATCTGCTTTCCACGCTGGCCACCGCCTGCACCTCGGCATCTTGACGAACCTTGCTGGGGGCCTCCTTGATCTCACTTTCAGCTTGGTTGGTCATTGTACTGGCTTCTTTGAACCGCGACACCTGTTGTGTTGGCCGCAGTGCCTTCTCTGGATCTAGTGTACGTGATGAAACTTCTCTAGTGAGATGGGATAGCTGAGGTGTCCCAGATGTTGTACCTTGGGTGTCTGAGGCAGTGGCAGATGGTTGTTTGATCTCTGAACATCCATCTTCTCTTGCTGGAGGCTCACAGGACCTCATTGTAGAGTGGCAGATGGCTTGCTGCCTGTCCCCTTCAGGCCCACCTGCAGGAGGGGAAGAATGACTGAACACCTCGGCTGCTGTGCTCTGTACCATTCCCTGAATTGTTGCTTGAGAAGGAAAATCACAGGATGCCTGATCTTTGCTGCTGCCACAGGTGCCCCCTGCAGGACAATTTGACTTCTCCGTTTGGGCTCCATTCAAGGTTCTCGGAGATTTCACCAAGGAATCTTCAGGTTCTGATGAGGCGCTGGCATTGGGCCGATCACCTGGGATGGCCTGGTGGGTGTGCTGATTGGCTGGCATTGTAAATGGTCTGTGTACAAGATCCTTTGCTGCCGTAGGGCTCGGGGCTGGTGCTGTGGGCTCTCTGCTTTCCAGCAGTTGGGGATCTCCAGGAGAATTGTGTGTGGGAGATGCTTTCTCCACCTCATTGAAGACACCAGGAGAAGACATGTCTGGTTGGGTGGTCTCATGCTCACAAGCCTGCATCACGGCCTCAGCAGCAGTGCTGGGGCTAAGGCTTGGTTCTGCAGGGGCACCTGCCAGGCCATTGGTATTCTTTCCCAGTTGAGCTGGTGGGCACTGAGATAGGGAAGCCTGCAGCTCTCCTTGAGCCTCCTCTTTTAAAGAAGCTGCAATCAGGGAAGTTTTAGTGGATCTCAGAGGGTCAGGTACAGTCCCCATGGAATTTCTTTCCAAAAACACGCCAGAGCTCTCCCTTGAGTGGTGTTCCTGCTGGAAGCAGTGGGAGTTCAGAGTGAAGACACAGTCAGAGATGATTCCTCTGAAGAATCAGCCTGGGGATCAAGGAAACAGTACTGTTAATACAGCACATCATTTAAGTACTAACAGTGTACACAACTGCCATTTTTATAAGATCACATAAGCACATTGGCCTTTTCTTCTTATATCTGTGGCTGTAAAAATAGACCTTGGAATGAAAGATTTTGAAAAAAATATTTTAACTATACAAATATTATTTTGGTACTTTAGCTTCTACTTGTACCCAAACGCTGTCTAGAAAATAGGTTTTTAGTGTAAGTACTTACATCTGATAACTACTTTAAAAGTCATTTGTATAATCTAATTTGCCAGAGATCAGAAAATTCTGTAAAGCTTCTATAATTATATCAGCAAGTATTGAAATAAGCCCAAACTTTATATCTGAGATAGAATATCAAGAAATAGATCAAAATGTAAATTTGAATTTAATATATGCTAAAAAGCATATATTTTGATTTAGTGGCAAAAGGATAGACTACTTAATAGAAGGTGCTGATAAACTGCTTATTCATCTGGAAGAAAAAAAAAGAGTTTTTATCTTATAGCAATTATAAAAATAAATTGTATATAAATGGATCAGAGTTTAAAATAAATAAATAAATTAAAATTTGTAAGAAAATCTAGAATCCATCAATATAGGGATAGGACAGTTGGTTCTTTTTAGACAAGGCAGAAACAATAAGATAAAATATAAACATAGGTGACTAAAATTCAAAACTTTTGCATGATAAAAGATGATAGATTTGAGAATTTGCTAAATTATATAATATAGCAAAAGGTTTTAAAAATTAAAAGGAGACCAAATAATCTGTTGGAAAAAGTTGGGTAAGGAATATGAAAACACAACTGAGAAGATAAGAAATCCAAATAACCAAGAAGCTTATAAAAGGATGATCTAATTCATTTTTTATCAAATAAATGCAGATAAATTAATGAGATTTTCTTTTATACCAACTGCACTTGGAAAAACTTAAAAAAAAAAACTGAAACCAAAAGTAGGCTTATAACACAGTGAGACCTGGGGAGACCTAGGGAAAGCAAGTATTTTTACTAACTTAAGTGCAAATTTTAAGTGTATTGCTATAGCTTTTTAAAGGAAGCAGGTTAGTTTTTAAAACTAAAAATGTACATGTCTTTGATCCTGTGATACAATCTCTATCAAAAGAAATAAAAACACCAGTCTATAAAGAGATAGGGATAAGTAGGTTTGTTTGTTTATTTATTTATTTTTGGTACTGGGGATTGAGCCAAGGGGCACTTAGCCACTAAGCAATATCCCCAGCCATTTTAAAAAAATTTTAAACTGAGTCTTTCTAAGATGCTTACGGCCTCTCTAAGTTGCTCTGGCTGGCTTTGAACCTGTGATCCTTCTGTCTCAGTCTCCCAAGCTGCTGGGATTGCAAGGGTGTACCACTGTGCCCAGCAGGATAAGTGTGTTTATTGAAATGCTGTTTGTAGAAGAAAAAACTGGAAACATGAGTGAGGGAATGGTAATGTGTAACGAATAACATGTGCCTACCTTAAAGTACTAAGCAACAATCAAAACAAGTTAACTGATTAGGTTCTAACTTTTCACTTGGGGAGGATTTTCCCAAGATATGGGTACATGAGAAACGTAAGGTACAGAAAAGGGCACATATATTTTTATTTTTGTAAAAACAATAACCTAAGACACTTCATCTGCATGTACATGCACACACACACACATACAGAAGGTTGTATGTGATTATATAGATTCTAAAAATATTTAGAATGAGACATATCACTTATTTATTAAATGAAGGAGGAGGGATGAGTTAGGAACAGGGAGGGATGATGGAGGTCCCCAAAGTGGGAAAGTGATGAATTTTTTAAAACCTATCTGATATAACATGGGGTATATGCTTATGTAAAATTATATATACATTTATGTGTAAACATTTTTAGAAAGGATAATTTGATATTAAGGCATGTGGATAAAGCCACGGATCAGAAATTAGTTTACTATTATCTCTATCACTAAAAGGCTATGTTACCTCAGGCTAATCACTTAATCTCTCTGGGTCCCAAATTAACTCATTGGCAAAGTGGATTATAAGCTTTCTAAGGGCTTTTCCAACTCCAGCATTCAAAGTTCCTACTTCTTTGCATGTGATTGATGATACGTTAAACAATCTTAATTTGGGCTGTGAAGTATCAAAAGAAGGCAAAGTCCTATCTTGTTTGGCTCAGATTTTGAAAGTACAAAATTTTATTTTTGATTCAATGCTATTTGACTGATCTTGTATTGTATGAAATCTAACGATAAATCAAACATTTTCTTCTGCAAACTAGTTTATCTTGTAACATCATTACTCATATTAATGGACTAAATATTTTTTCCATTGTTGGTCTTGACTGCTTTCTGCTCAAACTTCTCTTCTAGGTTTCCATTCCACTTCTCCTTTTTCTAGTTTTCTATTCATTTACTTTCCCTTTCTCTCTCTTTTGCATCTGTGTTGATCATTTGTTTCCTCCTACTGTTAGCTTTCCTTATCCTAAAAAGTCCACTGATTCTTCAAGGTCCCTCTTGAACCCCATTTCTTTTCTGAAGTTCTGTAAAGGCTTCAAATCAAAGATTTTATTTTTCAGAAACTCCTACAAGTCGGTCAGCTTGTTCTTCGTCTTGTGATTTTCATGTTCTGTTTTTGTACCATTCTTATCTATTTAAGTGTCCTATTTCTCCACAAATATTAAAAAGCCCCAGGAAGGCAGGGAGATGCTTATTGATTCTTTTCTGCTTACTCCACAGGATACAGTGCAGGGTTTTGTGCATAAAAAGTTGTTAATTGATCCTGTTTTCCTCTAAAATGGTCATTATTAAAAGCCCTGTTAAACTCCAAACTAACAGGAAATATTTAGCCATGACATAAAATATTAATGAAACCACAATTAAAAGGAACAATATTTTTGGAAGTAAAAAAGTGGTAGTATCTTATTTATTTTAAGTTTTGTGTATCTGGAATTCAAGTTTAGACAATTTAAACCAAGAACACTGGACACCTGCTATGAAAAGTTGGTAGTTCTCATCAAGCCAAGGGTACAGCCTGTCTCCTATGTTACATGGCCGGAGCCCAGAAATCCTGTTTGCCAAATAGGACTGTAAAATAGAAACAGCACAAAGTTCAGCAACTGAAAATGAAAAGACTCTGATGAAGATGACTTCATAACATCCTCAGTCATTGTGTTTGCTTCCATTTCCCACACACAGCTGAGCGTGTTAGTTTAACTTTACAAGGGCGTTTTCTCAATTCAAGAATCAAGAAACAAAGTCCAGATTGCTTGCCTCGCACCTCTTAACTTGGAGTCTATTGATTTATTAGTAGATAAGAAGTCATCACTGGTCTCAAACGTAGCTGCTAATGGAATCATTGCAGCATCTGTATGAGTCCAGGAGACACTCTCCTATGTTCCAAAACTACTTCTCTCTCCCTTTCCCTCCCCTACCACATAGGTAAAATCTACCTTTCCCAGGGAACAGACACACCAAATAATTAAAAGCAATTATTTGGTGGTTCAGAGTGAGGAGTCCACAGCTTGATCGTCAACTAGACTCCATTAAAATTAGATTTAATGACTTTAAAGAATAAGGTTGGGGGCTGGGTTTTAGCCCCTGTGGTAGAGTGCTTACCTTGCATGCATGAGGCCTTGGGTTCCATCATCAGCACGACATAAAAATAAATAAAAATAAACAAATAAATAAAAATAAAGATATTGTAAAGAAAAAAAAATAAGGTTGCAAACAGGTAGCCTCCAGACTAAATAAATTTCTTCGATAAGGGTGTGCGTGTGTGTGAGTGTGTGTGTGTGTGTGTGTCCTAGATGGTTTTTCCTTCCCTTTCTTTTCCTTCTGAACTGAAGTGATCTTGCATAAAAATACAGATTTTTTCCCTGTGTGCTTCTATTTCAAAATTTCAAACTTTGCATCTCCAAATGGAAACAACTAGATGGCACTGAGAAGGGCCTCTTGATGGGCATAGACACTCCAAGTGGCCCATGTCCCAGGATCCTGCTTTGCTCATTAATATTAGGAAAGTCCTATGTGCAGCTGAGTTTGTTCTCTAAGGATATTTACAGAGTAGATTTCCCTGTCTGATGTCCATTCAGGCAGTTTGAATTGGAGCTCAAGAATACAAACTTGGGGAAGCTCCCCTGAGTTGGAGTACTAGTTCTACTACCCAGCTTTATCTCTGCGGGCTTGCATAAGTAACCTTCCAGGGAACAGTTTCATCTATTAATTAAAGATAATGATGATAATACTGCCTCAATGCGTTTTCATGAGGAACAGGCTTAGCATTTAGAAGAAATAGCATCTTGGCACATAGCATGCACTATGTAAGTGTTACCCTCTTTTAAAAACCTCAATATTTAAGCGTTGTTCTGTATTAAAGAAGAAATTATTTGGATATATGTTAAAACGGGAAAAGGAAGACTTTAATCAGGTCTCTCACAATTAATGTCAAGATGATCACAATAGGGGAGAGAGAGAATGGGCTCAAATCCAAATATGATAAGAATATGTAGGTATTTATAGCCAAAGAACAGTTTGAGGGGGTTCATGGACAGAAAATTACTAAGATGAAACATTAAGAGTAGGGGCAGTTTTATGGATTGTATAACAAGTTTCTTGGTGAAGGTAGGCCAGCTGATCAGGTATCTGTGATGAGGGATTCTCTCTAAGTTGGTTTAGCAGGGCTCTGCAAGAATATCCTGAAGCCCACAGTTGAAACAGAGTAATAGGAGGGCTCAGAGGAGTCTGACTAAAGTTTGGTCTAGGAGGGAGTCTTTGTCACCTGCAGCAACAAATAGGATTTTCTTATAAGGTTGTCTGTAGCCTTACAAATCCTTCCCAAATTAGGCAAAAATCACACAGAATCTCCAGG